GTCCTTTCTCCAAATGCTGCCGGCTAGCTACTTGAGGATATTTTTGCGGATATGTACTTTGGCTATAATCGCGGTTGTATGCTGATATGTTATTTGAAAGAAGACGGCTTCGAAATATCTCAACACTTACTTCTTGATTGTCCCATCTCAGCGAGATTAAGGCTTAAACATATAAAATTTGAAACTTTCAGACAACCCGCTGAGCTGGTGGTAATAAAAATAAAATCTTTAAGCAGCTGTGTTTTGGATTCAAAGAGTTTTGTGGACTTATATGACGCAGTACTGTATTTTGTCGTCCAAGTGCGATCTCCAACTTGCGGATCAGCCATTGAACCACACCTAACTAACAAATATAAGTAAAAAAAAAAAAACCATCTTAGGCTCAATTTTAGGAGTCTTTCTATAATAAGCATCTATTGATACCATGCCCGGAATTGAGTACTTTTTTTTGCTGAAAACTTTTTTCTTTCATTTAAAACAACCAAAATAAATATGAGTATTACTTTATTACTTCTTAATTATTTTTTATATTTTTATGCCTGCGTGTGCAGTTGCACATTTGTTAATTAAAATGCCATAATTCTCCGAGTTGTTAACCGCTAAGTTGCTGTGGCACGCAACATTAACACGAATTAACTGGCAACGGATCTCACATCTAGACTTAATCTAATCAAATTTTAAGCGCTTGTACAAATGCACTTAAAATACACATACATACAAACATTCATACATACTTACTTATGTAAATACATACATATGTACGAGTATAAGCAAAATGTGCCAGTGGTGTTGCAATAGACAATTCGAAGGTTATGACTATTTACGCAGCAAATGCAATTCTTACTTGAAATATGTACGTATGTGTGTAAAAAGCACATACATACATATTATTGCAAGTAAATATGTGAACCTCGCTGTGCCCACATAGAAGTCGATGCACTTACAAACTCACTTCGTCACTTGGTGACTATCATTAAAGGCAGTAGTTGTGCTGCAGCAAGCATTTAACCCTATTTGTTGGTGTTGTAACAACTTTTTGGACTCCTTCCACCCTTTCGCTCCGCCAGCCTCGTCTTATTGTTTGTACGCATTTGAAGCGTTTTTAATTGCTGGTCATTTGTAAGCATGCAAGTGTTGAAATTACCAAACTACTCACCATTACACACATACAAACAAACACATATATAAACACACAAGAAGATTTTAACTGTACTTAACTGTTTGCCGCGTTAATTTAATAATTTAATCAAAATTATCATCAAAAGCCATCATTGTGGCAATCAAAAAGGCATCTTGTTAGGGTGTCAACAACAGCAGAGCTGCACAAACACACTCACACACTGGCACAACGCTTTAGCGCATACAAAAGCAAGTAATTGTCAGTCAACCTTGTTCATATTTCGAGAAAAAGTTTTTCAATTTCTAATGGCTTAAAATGCAACTGCAAAGATTCCTCTTATAGTTGTTATTATTGTTGTTTTTGGTGCGTTTGCGGTCAAATGCGCTCGGCACCGTACTAATTCGATCCAATTCATAGAATGCAAAGTGACAGCTTGAAACAACAAAAACCACATGGCATTAGTCAATGTGCCCACATTAATGTTGTTGTTGTAATGCGACGGCATCACACCCCTTCATTTGGTGCGTGTTTGTGGTTGCGTTTGACCACGACCGATCATACGTATCTGACTGACTGGCTGTCGAATCAATTATGTTTAGTGCATTGTTAGTGTGATTAATTGCGTGTTAATGCACAATGAATTACTTGTTGTACAACTTGACATATGTACACTAATATAATTCGATCACTTAGATCTTTATAATACCCTGAACAGGCTATACTAAATCTGCTACGAAGTTTGCAACACCCTGAAGGAAACGTTGAAGATCCTATAAAATACATACATATGTACATGTATGTGAAATCATAACCGGACACCCACCGCCGCAGTGTATAAATGAAAACGTTGTGTTTATGAAATTTGTCCAGTTATGGGAGTTATGCGGTTATGAAGAGTGTCTGTATTGGGAAATTTCACTGCATATAAAGAATCAGCGTGACCAGCTAAGTCGATTTAGACATATTCGTCTGCATATATTTGAAATTTCGCAAACGGACTCTACTTTCCAAACATCTATTCAATTGTGGGCTGATCGATCAAGTTTTTCATAATACTTTGTATTTTTTTTCAAAAGATTTTGTACATATGTAAGTATGCAAATTCTTGCTTTTGTTGCTGGTGCAATAAGTATGAAGTGCCTTGTACTCAAATCGTGTGGATCCAAGTGACTATACGGTCGCATAATGGGTGTAATGCTGACGGAGGTGCAGCGTTAATATTATCTTTGTTAAGATATTAAGATACATCTTTTTCAACAACTGCTGAGGATTTCCCAAATTGCTGATTTAAATGAAACAAACTTTATAATCAGCTGCAATAAAAACTCTGGGTACAACCACCTAGTGATTAGATTAAATAGTTGGATTTCATTGGATTAATGTTTTAAAATAATTAATTTCTGACAAATTTTGATTAAATTTAACAAATTAAGCAACATTTTTGACGGAATTGCAAAATACACACAGGAACAAAATAATCTAATAAGAAAGACGAGCAAAAGCACTCCAATCAAATAAGCACCGTTCTCATTGGATTACCATCCAGCTATATTTGTAATTAACATTTGTGAAATTGAGTTTATAAATTAGTCACAATGAATCCTTCCAATCAACATTAACATACATTTGCAAGCATTGTACATATATTTCTTTAATTCACTTATCAACACTTTATATATTCTGTTGTGATTCACTCACCTGGCACAAATAATAAACGCAGCGGTCAGTGGGGAGATCAATGAACGAACTATGCCAATTGGATAGGTTGGCTAACACGGGCCACAACCGAAAGCAGCCAAACAGCTGTTTTATTGTATAGATAATTCTTTGCTGCAGTACAAATATGCGACAACACCGATATGGTTGTTTATTAACTTAGCAGCACGATTTTGTATCAATTATTGTTAATAATTTTGCACATTTTTGCGACGCGCCGCGTCAATGTAAATTAGGGCGACAACCAAAACACAACAGAGAAAAACTGAGGTAATTTGACAGTTTATTGACAGACTTGTTGATTAAATGAGTGCGGCAGCAGCGCAGCTCATTCTGTCAAATTTAAGTGTTTGTGCGACATCTATAAGTCAAGTATACTATTTCGTTGTACAGGGTTTTATTATGCAAAAGAAATTATATGTGTGTGACTTGGATTGAATGGATGAAGTGCAGAGAACGCACAAGAAACATGGAACGCAAAGGATCGTACGCTCTTTACTTTTACGTTCTCTGTCTCAGCTAACCACTCACGATCCTAATGTGGAGTTCACCACTTTGCGGTTATATAGCTGGAGCAGACGTTCCATTGCCTCACCATGAAGAAGTTCGAATACCATTTACCCAACCACAACAAAGTAGCGGGTCCGATGGATTAACGGCCGAGCTTTTGTAATACGGCGGCGAACAACTGATAAGGAGCATGCATCAGCGTTGTTGAATATACATCGTTGGACGAAAGTATGCCCGACGATTGGAATTTAAGTGCGCTCTGACCAATATACAAAAAAGGATACCCCACAATCTGTGCCAACTACCATGGGATAAAGCATTTCATCTCAGAGCGTATTCGACGCAGTGCCCGCAGACCGGGTGAAAAAGTATCTGGCTACACTTGGAATCCCCAATTGGCGCCAAGCAGCGAAAAGGAAGAACGACTGGCGCGCTGATGTAAGCTCGGCTATAACCGCGTTAGCGCTCTCCACGTCGGTAAAGATGAAGAAGATATAAATACATATGCATACATATATGAATGTCTGACCGACATTTGTGACCCACTTTACTGTGAGTTTTACACCATCGTTTGTATTTTTCCATAAGCCAATTACTAACGATCAATTGTAACAATAACGAACTATCATGATTACACCTTTATATAATTTAATACTTACATACATACTTAATAACATTTACTAAACAAACGCTAGAATATTTGGCAGGTAATCGAACGCGTCATTGAAACCGTTCGTTGCTTTCAAAATATTTGCCTCGGAAAACCAAAAATTTTACTTTTATCTGAAACATACCAAAAATCATCGCCAGCAAAGCCAACATTTTTTTTTCAAGTTCATTTGACAATAATTATTGTTTGTCATATAAAAAACACATACAAACATGGCTTGGCATATAACTTTGGGAATAGCAACGTATGAATGAGTAAAATTAACCTTCGCGCATGGCCGCCAATCGTCAACACGCTGCAGTCAAGAGGCTGTCGCTTGCAGCAAACAGCAGAACGCATGCGATAAGCAGCAGAAACCTTGCTGCCACCTTCTCCACAACCATTGTACAACAATATTGGCCATTGGTCATGCGTGGTCGGCGTCGCTAAGTGGCCAGACAGAAATAGTAAAAGCAGCAACAAAAAATATATATAATGTGACAGAAAGTTGGTATAAAATTAGTTTAATATTGTATGTAGGTATGTCAATCATTTATTGTTGTTGTTGCGTTAATGCTTTACAGATTTTGTGCTAATTATTTTTTCTTTAGGTTTTGGTATAAATGTATAACAAAAGCGCGCGTTGAATTCAGTCTTCAACAATTTTGCTGCAGTGAGTGAGCTAGATTTTGTAGCAACAATAAAAAAAATTTAAAAAAAAAAATTGTAAAACTAAAAGAATAATTATTAAATATAAAAATAATTATTTAGCTTCAAAAAACCAAAATAATAAATATTAAAATAATTTTTTAATACAAAAACTGGAAAATAATTGTAATAAAAATTAATAAAAAGCTTAAAAAACAATTATTAAAAAAATATTAAATTATAAGCAATTACATTTAAAAATTTAAATAAAAGTAAAAAATATTTTTTTTTCAACAAAGAATAAATACACATTTATTTTCACAATTTTTAATTGGAAACTTGCTATTTAGGCAGTGCACCTAACCTATAAAAGCAACGGCGTGTGTCCACCATAAGGTTATTTGTTCAAATCAACTCGCGGTGAACAGTTAATTTCAATTTTTTGGATTTTGAGGATTTTTTAAACAATAATAATGCAGAAAATCGAATTATTTGTGTTCTGTGCTTTTTTGGTCTACAGTGTGAGTTTTTTTTTGCTTGAAAAATAAATTAAAAAATTTATAAAGAAATTTTACTTAAAGTTACATTTTTTCTTGAAAAATAAATTAAAAAATTTATAAAGAAATTTTACTTAAAGTTACATTTTTTCAGTGCGTTAAAGCCGTGGAGATTGATTGCAGGCGACCGCCACAACTAGTGGTAAGTCAAAGCGTGAATAAATTTTTATCAAACTTGCAGCCATGGAGAATATTGAGACAAAACTTTTTATTCGAATATCTGTCAGGCAGAGAATGCGAAACCTTGAATTTGATGTGAGAATCGAATGGCCCCAGTTGTAAGTCGACTCTCAGTATCTGAATGGGAATCACTCTTCGTATTAATCATAGCAATTGGTATTGCTTTCCTATGGAATGGCCACATAATTAATTTCTTTTTATAACGAAGAAATGCTTAATATTCTTTTTGTTGTAAGAAGTAACCAGCCGTCGGATTGTAGTGGTTAAGTGAGCATACTGGTAACACTCGGTATCTAAGTTCCAGGCTTGTACCATCTAATACCGAACAATAACTAAGAACTCTCAAAACTTGCTGCTATGAGAAAAAATTTCATAAAATATATCAAACGTTTGGAATCGACCTAAAACTTATGTCTACGTTCACCAAACTTAGTTTTCAGAAATATTGTGATATTAGCTGTGTGGCTTGTGCATTCGCCTAATTTTAACCACATAAAGTTCAAGTCCATATCATCCAATTCTGGCCAAAAATATTCGGTTATCATTGAGCGGTAGCGATTGCCATTCACAGTCAATTGTTGATCTGACAGAATAATTATGATGACCATAAAATGGACGTAGAGCTGACTAGCCACTGACTCTAAGTTTCGGTATAAAATTTTAATAATTTCGACTCGTTGTTGGATCGTATATCTTTCCATGATGAAACGGCAAACCTTACTGAAGAGAAATATCAAAAGAGCAGGAGAAATATTTTTGTAGATCCTTATTGAAGAAGGCAATATTTCCGAGAGTATTACAATGCAGTACTTTAAAGAGCTGCTTCTTCAGAAAAAAATATAAAATTTCTTATGTATGTGCTTTAAATTATCGCTGAGAAGTGACAAAATCTGAGGCCACTTGGCTAAAGCCTCTTCAGAAATCATTTTGCTGGAAGGGTTATCTATCTTTATAACCATGTTCATTGATGTTTATTTCACTGCTCGTCTTTACCAAAGACTCCTTTATTACTATTCATCTGTAGTTACTAAGTTAGTCTCAATTTACGAAGCTAAAATCATTCATAAAAATGTAATCAAATAGGAGAATGATGAAGAAGATTGCAACTGATGACATGAGCAATATTAATTGCCCCAAAAACCCTTCATAGTGCAAAAACAAAAAAAAAAAAAAAAAAAAAAAAAAAAAAAAAAAAAAAAAAAAAAAAAAAAAAAAAAAAAAAAAAAAAAAAAAAAAAAAAAAACCATTACTTCGTTAGCATCGATGCCATAATATCCTTCACAAATACAAAATATTCATTACAAGAACTTTGATCGTTTAGTTGGTATGAAATTTTTTTTCTGCAATTGTATTATTTCCTTAGACATAAACTCATGCCAAATTTCGTTGAGATGTTTCGTTGTCGTTTGACACTTGATTCCGAACGTTCCGTTTGTATGACAGCTATATACTATAGTGTCCCGATATCAGGAGTTCCCAAAAATGAGCAGTTTCTTGGGAAGAAAACGCTAAATCGACTCAACTCGTCATGCTGGTCCTTTATATTTTATAGGGGCTTTGACGTTTGAGTTGTGAGTATAAAAATAAAGCAGAAACTGAGTAAAAGGGAGTCTAGTACTTGGAAGTTTATTTCGGAAATTTCACTTAGACACACTGGGACGGCCTACCACAAGTTGGTAGAGTGCAAGTCCTGGTAATATTGTAACCGTAAAGCATTCTCGAAATGAAACGTAATTCCTTATTTTTCAGTTTATTTTAATTATTTCTCCTTTGAAGTTTCAATTTTTGCTTAATTCACCAGCAACCGTCACTTTGTTGTAAAAACGAAGAACGCGCAGCGGTCATGGAAACGTGTGCGCAACGATTGGGCTTATCTTTTGAAAAACAGAAGGGCGCCACTGCTTTGGAGGACGTTACTGTAAGTTTTTTACAATATGAAGTCGTCTTCATATACATTCATGTACTCTCTCGACTGACTCCATTTACACGATTTCTTTACCGACAGTGCTTCGCTGAGTGCATCGTTAAAGAGTTGCAGCACCTGTCAGCGCCTGAGAAGATCAACTTTGAAGCCGTCCAAAAGTATCTACAGACCAAATCCGGCAATGATACCACTTATGTGGACACTATGCTGACCGCCTACAGAAAATGCGTATCAGTGGCGCAGCAACGAATGCAAGTGATCAAGCAACATTCACTCGGTGGTGGCGTGTTCGCACTTCGGAGCTGTAGTCCCTTCTCCGGCATACTGCTCAGTTGTGTGCACATGGAATACTTCATGAACTGCCCGGCGAATCGTTGGACCGATAATGCGGAGTGCGCTTTGGCGAAACAATTTGTTACACAGTGTGCTATCGGCACGGTGTGAATATTAATTTAACAAAAGTATATATGTATACTATATAGTACATATCGTCACCTAAAATGCAATATAAAGCAACATCACATAAATTTATGTACAGGCGAAACAATAACGATATAAAAGAAACCACTCAAATTGAAACGAAATTTGAGTTTTGGTTAGAAAGTTGTTATAAAATAGTTATATATTGGTTATCATCAATTGTGAGTTTTGGGTACAAAATGGTTATATATTGGTTACCATACACCCAAATTGAAACAAAATTTTGGTTATAAAATGGTTATATATTGGTTATTATATCAGTTAGCATTTTTCGATTTTTCTTGATGATACGCTGTCTTGGATTTAAGGTCACGATTTACTATATTTATAAAATAGTAGGTGTAAATGTTATATAAATAACGAAAATATATTTAAGTACATATGTATAAGATCAGGCAAATCAGTTCTTAATGTTTTTTTACAAATAGTTCAGTTATAAAATAAAGCATACAAATAAAATTAGATATTCAACTTGCTCGATAGATTTAGATGAAAGTCCTCAGGTAATGCAAACGGGTATATAAAGTCATCGCGATGTTTGCGCAAAAAACGCAACAATGTCTTCTCCACTTCGTCCGTATGCCCCGCATCGGCCATATACTGCTTCATAAATTGCTTGCGTTTTCGGCGATCTATGCCCAGGTCCTGTGCAGGAAGTATGTATTGTTATATATGTTTTACAGCAACTTTAGCATTAGTCTGCTCCACTAACTCACCATATCCATGATATCCTTGGCCATTTCCATGCCAAATGTACGAATGCGGCTGCTTAAACTATCAAATTGTGGATGCATGATCAGTTCGGTCCATGGCTCTTCGAAGAACTCAACAAAACTGGTTATGTCCTTGAGATACCAACGAGTATGTAAGTCATTCAATAGTGCCTGATGCTGACCCACAAAGTATTGCAGATGATCAAAGCTGCGTTTCTATATTAAAAAAGATTAAATATAAATTAAAGCAATTAAACTAGAATAAATGTAAATTTATTACATTTCTGGTGACGCAAGTGATCTCCTCTACAATGCCATGCTCGTTGATGCGCACGCGCGAGAAATTCCCATCATAAGTGACTAGTGTCAGCATATAATTGTTATCCAAATGATTGGCGATATAGCGTTTAGGTAGGATTGCTTTAGCCATATAATGGCCTAATGGTAGTTGTGCTTGAAAGTAAACTGGTTGCAGATATTTCTCAGTGTTTATGGGATCATCATCCTGATGCAGATTAAGGCTTCTAATTAGCTGTGAATAAAAAAAAAAGGATTTTAGTAACAAAAATATGTAAAACCCTTTGATTTGACCAGTGGAAGTATTAAAAACGTATTTTTTTTTTGAAGTGTTTGTTATATTTTCAGTTATCATATCATATGATTTGAGCAATCACTTAACATGCTCTATCACTTCCTCACATGTCTAATATAATATATAATATAATATACTCATAAATGTGTATATTATTATATTTTTATATATGTTTATATTTTCCTACTTTCCTTTTAATAACCAATAATATAATCATCAAGTTGATTATCTAATTTAATTACATCATATGATGCATTATCATATCAAATTTCATCAAATGATTTTAAATTTTTACATTTTGTTTATGAATATGCCAAAAAATATATATATGTAAAATGCTGAAAAACCGAACTTTGCATAACCATGTGATGTCACATCATATCATGTGACGTCACATCCCATCGATACATGTCAGACGTTTCTTGCACAATTTCACTGATATATATAACAGTGTGATCATATTTTATCATATTACTACTTCACATCAAGTAACATCCACGATCACATCACGCGATCTAATATATTACACTGTCAAATGTCATCAATCGCTCTGAGCTTAGAAACTCATTTGAAATCATGTTATAGTAAAAGGCATATTTTCTTGTAGCCACTAATGAGTGGTTCGTAGAGTAACGAAATTGTAACGGTGTCAAATAGCAGCTTCGAGGTCGAAATTAATATCTTAGCGACACTTCTTCAGTCTCTAACTTGTTTTGATCATCGAAGACAATCATAAACTAAAAACCTCATAAGGCTACCTTAAATGTTATGACTTCGAACCATGCCGCATGATTTTATAATAGATCACATGATTGTACTAATTTTCCAAAATTTTAGATATCATGACCTTAATTTTTATAGAAAGGGCAACGTTATTAGTGGAAAAAAAAATTGTAATTCATTAATACAGGAAATCGACAATATTTAGGCATCGTTTCTTCGACTAATAAATACAGTTTTTTGACCGATAATATAATTTAATTTCTATTCACATCAATTCGGTGGGATATCTGAAAATGTGAGCACCCAAATGCGTGAGTCTCAATCTCGCAAACGCGAGACAATCCAGAAGGAAGTGCTGACATGTTTAGACCTGTTCCTCTTCCATATAACCTCTGCAGGTGGAGTCCGGTAAGGGATTGGGTTGGATGCCAATAGAGAAAAGTTCTGTTAGAACCTCCAAACTTGGTATAGCCTTACTGAGGGAAAGAGCTCACTTGATCTCTTGCGATCAATTTTGACACAAAAGAATCTTGCGACAGCGCATGAGCCGATTGTAGCGCAGCGCTGGCTAAGTTTTCGCGAAGCAGAGTTATCCTGTAGTAGAACACCATCTCATCAGTTTTACAGTTGCCCGCGTTACGCTGTAGGACCATACTAATATTTTTAAAAGTTGACTCGCGCCCATGGATTGTGAGCTCAAGCCTAGTATCGCCGACCTGCTACCAGAGTGGATAGTAACTTCTTTGAAGGAGAGTGTACTCCGAATCAGTGAATCTTCAGATACATTAATTGCCTGCAAGCTCGGCTTGAAAAACACTTCAAAAGTCAGGAAGACTGTAACTGAAGTTGCTAAGTAGTTCCTGGCAGTATATACCAAAACGTGCGAAGATTTTCGAATAATCAGAATTTAAAAACGCAGATTCTCTGAGTCCGATGGTAACTTTTGCGGCCATACACTTTCCGGCTATGTCTATGAGCAATATTTGAAAATTGAAGTGGATCTTAGAGCATGACAGATGCTGATGGGCGCTGCTCGTTTCACGCTCTCCCACTTCCTAGCAAGTGTGATTTTTTCTATTTCCCTCCACTACACAAAGATCCCATAGGTAAAATTAGGACAATTTCTACATCAAAAATTAAAAAAATAATTGTGATTAAGAAAAATCGAAGGGAAAATGGTAGTCGTGAAGAAGACGTAGGGTCAAACCCGCATTCAAAAGGAGAGCATTTTTCACGATCTGTTAGGGCTTTTTGACTATAAATGGGCTTGACTATGGTGTCATAAAGCCAGAAGACTACTTTCGGTGAGAGACTCCACATCACTGATGACAGTGAAGAAATATATATTTCTAATCAGCGAAAAGGAAGCATATAAGATGATCCTAATAGCGGATGAGCACAGACAAGTATTGACAAAAGCTCATAAAAAATTTTCTCGATATGAAATTGTCTTCGAAGAAACTATTATTCAATGAGGCGATGCTATCATCGAAACTTAATATCGGATCTCGCACCTTACTTATGACATTATAAAATAAGATCTATTAAATTTAAAAATACCTTTGCTGCTTTCTCTTCTTTAGCCACATGAACATATTGATGATTCCGCTTGTTCCTCAAGCGCGTGCAATTGCCAACGGCATAAATATTCGCATCGCTAGTGCGAAAATTATCATCGACCAACACTAATGAGTCCTCCATCTCAATACCAGTGCTCTCCAATACTAGACCACGTCAAAGTATATCTATAAATTATTACACTTTTAATATTTACTAAGTTCACTCACAATCAACAAGCTCGGCGCTGATAAGATGCGGATGAAAGCTAACAAATAGGTCACAAGCCATTGTCATTAAGTTACCGTTGGGATAGTTTTCGAAAGCTGCATGTGAGATGATCTTTTCATTATAGTAGTATATCCACTTCTTCAGTATCCAATGCGCCTCGACCTTCACGCCCAAATCTTCCACCATACCCTGCAGTATCATCTCTATATTCATATCCATATTGCTGATGTTGTATTTAATGCATGACTCCCGAGACTTAGCGTCCCACGGTATGACCAATGTTATGAATTGTGGCGGTATTTTGTGTTTAATGAGGAAATTTATGAACTCATAAGTGCCCAGGTGAGTGCCGAAAACGATTATATTGATATCATTCGAGTTCTGATCTTTGCGTATGGCTTCAAGTTTGTGATACATTACGATTTTATCGAAGCGACTGTTGATGTGCATGTAGTTCGATGCGCGTGGATCGCGTTTTGCAGCTGGTGGTTTTCCGAAACGTTGACTCATTGAGAAGATGAGTTTGCCATAGTACATCTCGCAGCCGTTGGCTAAAACGATTGCTTGGTCTTCTCTGCGAGAGTTCAGATCAAAGAAAATGTATGCATCAAGTTGTTAGATTGTTAAAAATAATTTTTGGCAATTTTGTGTAGGTTAAGAGTCTTAAGTTGTTGTCATTCTTATCAAAGCAAATACTAACTAAAGACAATATCGGGAAATGTGTCAGTATTTTAAACAAGATTCACCAGGCGATCGCATAAAAACTACGCAATACCTTCCTGGTTATCAGTCGCAGGTCAGATATACCAGGCTATACATGCTTCCGGAAATAAACTCAAGACGTTTATTCGTCGAAATACTCATGCCTTTGTCAGTAGGAACCCATTCATATAGAATATATGAAATAAAATCTGCCAAAACTTTTTTTGCTCAGAAACTGACTCAAAGAAGTATGTAGAGTCGCATTCGTTGAAATAGTTATAATACTTATCGGTCGGTACGTACCAGATTAGATAAATAAATAAGGATTGAATCGCGAACTTAGGTCTATTTTACTCTTTCCTAAATTATAACGACTCTTTGCACCAGTATATGGATAAATTCGAATATACTGCTATGTGCTATTGAGGCGACGTGATCCCTATTCGGAAACATGGATCCAAGTGCCTTTATCCTGAGCCTACAGATTGCTGTGCAGTC